CTCCTAGACACCATAATTGCACAAAAAATAGTTTATAAATGCAAAAAAAAGTGCATTTAGCATGATATGTCTCCTTTAACCTAACCTATAAATAAAGAACTGTGATGATGAAAGGTGGAGGAAAACAGTAACAGAGTATTTGCAGGCGTTTAAATTGAACCCAGATTTTAGGACAGGCAGCCACTATCACATTCTTAGTGTAACTAGAAGCAGAAGAGTGAAGAGGTGAAATCAGACTTTATTGTTACTGGATGAGCAAAATTTGCTTCCATAACGTTTGAGCGCATGAACTCATTCTCCTCACACTGAACCCAATCATTCAGCTTTCTTATATTACGGTAGTTAGTAAAAGAGGTTAGGTAGTGCCGTTCCACCCTTTAAAACGCCTGCAAATACTCTGTTACTGTTTTCCTCCGCCTAAAGGCCTCAGTAAGACCTGATGGTGCAGTCTGGGTGGGGTCTTGATCCAAATAAAACCAAGACTCAAACCATTACCACCGTGAGAAACAGCTAAAAGTGAGAGAGATTAGAATAAAACAGATATAGGAAATGTTGGAAGATATCAATTCTTATGGCATTAATTTTAGCAGCAACAGAAACATTTAGGAGACAACACAGAAAACTGTACGTAATTTGTATAAGCAAAGAGAATTTTTGRTATAAAGACTCCAGTATACATTAAAGGCAAAGAAAACCTAATTTGATTTCTTGAAAGTTAGATTAATGAGCAGATATTTTTTGTCACCATACTAACATCAAATGCCTAAATTTTTTCCAAGATTTAAATGGTTAAAAGAAAATGAGTGAGACTGTTAAACAACAGAGAGAGGCTTCAATACTTAGCAAATAAAAGAGGAATTAATGGCCTCTAAGTGGCAGGCAACTTCATTTGTCAGCAAAAGTTGATCAAGTCAGTATTTAAAGAGCTGATGGGACGATATGAACCAAGTTATAAAGTCCAATTACTCATCATTAAAGCAAGAGGATTAAAGCCTGTTTCAAGGTTTGGGGAGCAGGTATGTATTAAAAGACTAAAACATCTATGAGAGGAATGGAGCCACCTGTTTCCAGGAAGTATTGGAAAACTTGGACAGGAAATCATCTAAACCTGGGCTTTTACAGCGTTGTAAAGAATTGACTGCAATCTCCAGCTCTAGTGCTGTGATGTGCAGATAAGTTGATTGTTAAAGTCACTGAGGACTGAGATCAGGTCTGCAGAAACATGAGTTCCAACAGATGAGCACAGCTGCTTATGAAAGCCCACATTTTATTCATTTCTACTACTCCTGCACCAGATCCAGCTCTGATGAGACAGAAAGGATCTCATCTCTTCCTCAAACTGTGTAAATGTTTTGTGGTGTTCTGTGATGTGACCGCACATGTTCAGCTTGTACAGATATTTGTTCTTTATACTGTATATATCAGTAACGTATAAAGAATCTAAAAATGCAAAACACTCAGATAATCAGTTTTTCTCTGAAGATTTACTGGCACTCAGATGGACCCTATAAGAAATATTCTCCCCCCTTATTAAAATATTCATTGCTTATTAACCTGGAAGAAAGAATGAAGTGTGATAAAGTGTCTTTACTTTGTTCTTGCGGTTGTCGTTGTACTTGATGAGGTCGAGAATGAAGTTGAGAACGTCTTTGGGACAGAGGTTCTGCACGTCTCGGAGTAACGCCATGGCAACAGGCATCGTCTAGGATGAAGTACAAACACAAACCAAGATAGTTCTTTTAACCAAAAGCAGAAAGAAACCAGTAATGGAACATCTTGTCTTTCCATCCTGACTAAGACGAGGCACGAGGAGAACATCTTCGCCTGATTTTATCAATATTTTGTCATCATGAAGACATTTCTGATTTCCAGTCAGGGTTTGGTGATCTGTATTTTCTTCTGTTCTCTTCAGTAGGTTAAATGAGTTATAGCCACAATGAGGAAAGTAACATGAGAAGCTAGGTTAAAATCATCCAATTACTTAGCAGAAATAAGTTGCTTTAATAAATCAGATTAAACTCAGTGCTGCCAACTCCTCAGTAAGAAAAGGAGTTACTGGCTGTTATAAACGTTAGAAATTGCTAAAAGATGTTATGACCTGATGCCAATGAGCACATCACTGATGCTGTAGGAGAGTGGAAGACACCACGGGAGACAAAAAAAAAAAAAAGTAAAAATAACTTAAATTTGATGCACAGTATCTCAATTCTTGTTTTTTTATGCCACAATTCCAACCCTCCTACTTTAAGCTTGTTGTTTTCTCAAGCTATCAACAGAAGAAAGTTTGTTTGGGACATGACATGTCATACTTAAAAACAAGACTCAAGGGTAGAACTCTTAAGTCCTCATGTAGCTGTGTCAATGCAGGACTGACTTGTGTGTGTCACCACTCTTATCTCTCATTTAATTTCATCAGTCATTTAAATGTCTTTGTACGTCTTTAAAGATGTTTTCTATAGATTTTTATACTTCTTCACTGCTTTTCAAAACATTGCAGAAACTCCAAGGTTCTGCCCAGATAATAAGTCAAAAATAAGCTTCTAGAACTCCCAAACCTGGGCTGTGAGCCGCAAGAGACAGAACAATTTTCTTGCCCCCTTTTTTTTTTACAAAGTATGTGGTAGTCTTTATCTGGGCTTGAGACTGGCGAAAGCCAAAAGAGACTCAGTTATTTTAAGTGCAGTAATTTATTTWAAAAAAAGAGAGGCCCATGGCAGCACCTGCTGCTCGTTGAGAAGAGTAAGAACTGGATGTGCTTTCACATCAGTCTCCAAAAATCTCCAGTAACACCAGAAAAATGTCACTAGTTGCTTAGTCAAAAAAACGGTCTGAATACTCACTAATTATAGCCGCAAAGTTAAGTTGGTTAAACAGAAAGAGACAAATGTAAACGTTGAACAAACCCTGAAGTGAAACAGACCTGAAACAAATAAATAAACTTAGATTTCAGGGGTCTTGTTGGGTTTGTACCTTCTGTAAAAAGTAGCTCTGGAAGTTGATGAAGTTGTTGGTCTTGACRATGTTGGGGCAGCTCTTACAGCAAAACATCCTGGTGAATAGAGACTTCATGGCCGGYGGGCCCTGCCATGTGCTCACCATGGCATTGGCTATCTGCAAAATTTCACACCACAACAGATCAACTGACTTTCCAACCAAAACAGACTGTTTTACAGTTCTGCTTGGGTTCTGGACTGACAGCCATCATCACAGAAAAAACATTAAGTAATYAAATTTAAACCAGATTCTAAACTCCTGCAAACAATAAGGGATCAAACTCCTGTTTGAAGCCTATAAGCTGAGCAGTAAATGCACACAAGCAGCATGAGGTTTTCTCAGGTATGAAGCTTTAGGGGTCCTAAAGCTTACAGGAAATAGGGGAATTTATGTTAATGTGGTAATAAAGGGTCACTGAGTCAGTATGCTGCTTTTTGCTTAATTAAAGAGCTCAGTGGTTTTTATCTGTGTCTCTGGTTCATTTATTAACACATCTGACATTGTACTGTTTGTGTAAGTTATATTTTCATGTCTACGTTGCCTGGTCCTTTACTCCTTCTTACATTTGAAACCAAATTACAATCATCTGAAAGCCATCTCAGTCAATCCCCGTCCACCCATCAGAGGATTTAAGTGCCATGCTTCACTCTGTGGTTGGTTTGGGCGAACGTCTGTGAGCGTGTGTGTTTATGTGCGTGTCAGAGTGTGTTTCAGCTTGTATGTCAAACCCCCGTGTGTGTCTGTGCTACAGGCCATTACAGCYGAGGCTGTTAGGGTTTCTGCTGCTGCAGGATGTGCAGCGTAGCTTTTTCAACCCCCACTCGGATTATTGCGTTGTGAAAATATTGGTTCAGGTGGAAGCTAAAGGGTTGAAATCTAAGCAAGGAGAAAGTTGAAGTGGAGCATACCCAGAGAATAAAACATTCCTGCCACCACAGAATGGGATTATTCAGTCACGTGTGCATCAGTCAAGTAAGAGTTAAACTCGATGGGTGGCTCTCTGGATGGGATTCATGTTTTTCTTCCACCTCTTTCACAACATTGTCGGAACTAAACATTCAGTAAAATGACATCTTTCCTAGAAAACAGTGAGAGGAAAAGAGGACAGAGTGTATCTGAATCATTTCTCACTGATCACTCCTTTCTACTCTTCCCTCTTGAACTCACTTATTTTCATCTTTCATTCTTTTCATTTCATACTTTCCCAAAAATACATATTAGTAAATACTTAGTTGCTGTTGTGATTTAGCAAATATTTAGACCCAAAGTTTCTGAATTGATTACTGAACAGGACTGTACCAGACCCATCACAAGTATCAGAGCCAAGGTAGTTGGTATATATATTTACTTCACTCTAATCTCTGCTTATCTTCTGTTTACTGCAGGGGTGTCAAGTCCTGGTCCTTGAGGGCCATAATGCTGCCTGTTTTAATGGTTTCTCTGCTCCAACATCATTCTAATGGATGGACTTAAAGAAAGACCAAATAATCAGCTGATATCCAAAAATAAATACATCAGAACCTGCATGTATTTAATCACCAAGTGGTAAAATAGAGATGCATGAACAGCTGAAATTATCTCACTGTAGAACACAATTATTTTCTTAGATGAGAATGTTCTTTGGCATCAGCCTTAAGGAGAAAGTGAACAGCATTCCTGTGGTAAGATGTGCACAACTTTCAGTCCAGAACAGTACCCAGTATGCTTTAATTAGTACAAGTTCTGTCAAAACTAAGAATATATTTTTTTAGTTTTTGTTTTCCTGAATTACTAAACAGGGGATGCAAACCTTAGCCAAGCAGAAGCAGGCGTGCATGCGAACTTTGTAGAAACACTGTTCTTGCTCCAGGATGTCAGTCAGAGCCAGTCTGGAGGCAGGAGTGGGGAATTTTTCCAGCGCTGATATGGCTTCCTCCTGCAGAAGAGAAGATGGACCTTTACTGTTGTTGAGTGATTCAAACAGACAAAAAATTATCAATATCATCCAAAATAAACATTAAACAGTAGTTAAAAGAGGGAACTAACAAACCTGATTTTAAAATAGGTATGTTTAACTCATTATTGTTAAACATTTTTAGATTTACATGGAATTTAGACATCTCCACTTGTAATGGTGTCATTACTGCACATAGTCAAATATAACTGGTAAACAAAGGCGAATAAAACTTGTAAACATAGTCAAATATAATGTGAAATCAAATTAGCGCTTCTTTCAACCATGATGTCTGTTGTTGCTGTGATCTTTGCTGCAGTAAGAGGGGCTTACCATGGTTTCTCCCCTGCAGTTTTTAAAATGAATTGTCTGTCTCATTATCACATCAGCAACATCAGATGTCTTACATCTTGTCAAGTATAACTAGACTATAATGAAAGGACCAAAGCACATTAAAGAATATGAAAATGACTTGKCCCATGACATATGAACCTGTTCTTCATTTCTTATGGAAGAACTTTGTTTCCTCCAAGATGGCTGAACAGAAGAACTGTAGAGAATCTGCAGAACACCAGGAGGGAGACCCAATCCCTGCAGAAACAACCCTTCAGAGTTCTGCTGTGCTCCTGTCATTGTCCTACCTGAGCCACCACATCCCTCTCATAGCGCAGCTGATACTGCCACATGAAGTCTGCCTGCTCAAACTCCACTTTCCTCAAAATGGACATGTCCGGGTCGATTCGGATCCAAAGGAGAGGGGAGTCGGCACTGCAGAAGAAAGGTGACAAAAAAACCCTGAGTCAAAACCACGAGTCTAAAAGCAGTGCGAACACTGACTAAAGAATGACTTTGCTGAAACCTGCTGAAGAAGCTGAAACTGAGTTGTTAAAGTTAAAAGAAGCTAAACACAAACTAAAAGCTATCCCTCTTCTGAAGGATTTATATATTAAAACAGCTAAAACAGCACAAATTGCAAAAATATATCCAAAAATAAGAACAGGAATATGAGGGGTGAGAATTTGATGTCATGCTAAAGTTTGGTTCTAGAAACTGTAGGTCTTACTCCATGGCAGATAAATCCATGTCAACTTCTTCACCATTCATCAGAGGAATTTTTTTCTTCTTATTTCTGGAAAAGTAAACAAAACAGGACATTGAAATATCAGTCAGAAAAATACTTCAAATCTGTCTGCAGATTAATCAAAAATTCTCATGAATCACTGGATGGATTTTAATGAGAGAAAAAAAAACATTTAATGTACATGTCCTGATGCATCTCAGTAATCCAGGTAGAAAAAAACCAAAAAGAAAAAATAAGTAGGTCCTCTGGATGGGTTCTTCTTTAGTGAAACGTTTCGTCTCTCCTCCAAGAGGTACTCTGGGACTCTCTAATGTACATCTACAGCTGAGTCAACCTCATACAAGTTGTCCACAATCAACAGGCTTTAGGAACAACAACTGGCTCGGTCTAAAATTTGCATCCAAGTTCAGGTGAACAAACTTCTTATCCTTTAACACGGAGTAATCAAGCTTTGACTGAGACTACAGTCTGGTCCTGGAGAAGCTTCATCTTAAACTGGTGTACCTTATATTTGTTTAMAATGTTCTTATTCTGCACACTTACTGTCTTTAACTCACAACTTGCCCTCTGTGGATGTGTTTTCATGCCAATGAGTGTAACTTTAGCTTTCTTCCTCTGTTTTGTTATGTTTTGTTCAGGTTGTCACATTTGTTWGCAGTTTAAGTCAATCGTGTCAACAAACCTGTTTGAATGCTGTTATAAGCTCTGTGCTTAGTGTAAACTGTGACAATTTCTGGATGTCTTTTTCTCTACTTTTGACATGAATAAAAATTAACGAAGCATCTGCACCTTCTCCAGTTGATCAGAATGTCTTCCTTCCTGTACATATTTATGGTGCCACTTGAGCGTCTTTTAAGCATGAATATGTTTGAGTCAGGGAAATATCCCATCCTTTACATGGATGGGTAGCAGAAACACTGTACTGCACTCGTCCTTTGTGGTTTTTGTGTCCTGCATCWAATTATACAAATTCATCTCGCTGATCTTGACTCAAAAACATGCCCACTCYACATCACATTGACAAATGTCTGCAGACCTGAGTACTGTTCATGGTAAAAATCATTTTGAAGTGTGAAAACTTCTTTAATCATTTATAAAAAAAAACTAGAATTCATTAGATAACAGCTACATATTTAACTCCATGTGATTTTATGTTTTACAGTTAATTTCCTTTTTAAAGTCTTACTATTAGGGCCCTGTTTAACTTCAGCTTTTTAAACATTGCAGCTGTACAACTTGCAAGAATGTTAAGAGAATGAACTATATTTACTGTATATTTACTGCTTTACTGTACCTTCTGCTCTTTGARTGGCAGGGGATGTCATGCTTCAGGCTGTTCTCCTCGATCTGCARCGTGTGGTTGAAAGACCCATCCAGTTCTTGTACCGTCACCTTGATGGGACCCTGCAGAGAAATACYGGATTTATACACAATAATAACAGAGTAAAGTAGTTGGTCTTAATTGTTATCGCTGAATATACTATGTAAATTATACAGAGCTCTGAAAAAAAATTATACCTCTTAAACTTTTCCATATGTTGTCACGTTACAACCACAAGCTTCTATGTATTTTTACTAGAATTTTCTGTGATAAACCAACATAAAGTAGCACAGAATAGTGAAATGAAAGTAAACCAATACTTGTTTTTTCAAAATCCATTGTAAATAATCTCCTAAATGTGATGTGTCGATACTTTGTGGAACCACTTTTCACTTCAAATCCAGCTGTAAGGTTTTAGAGTTTGTTTCTAACCAGCTTTAAATGTCTAACTGAAGTTTCTGCTCATTCTTATTTACAAAACGTAACATAGGATAAAAGACCTTTTCAAATCCATTCATAGTCTCTCAGCTGGATTTAGGTCTAGACTTTGACTGGTCCGTTCCAACCCATTATTATGTGTTGCTCTGACCCGGTCCATGGCTTTTATCCAACTGTAGGACTTCCTGTGAAAAGTGMACGCCTACAGTTGTCCTGTGGACAGATCGTCCCACCTGAGCTGTAGATCTCTGCAGCTTCTTGGCTGCTCCTCAGGTTAATGCTCTTCTGGCCCGGTTAGTTTAGGTGGATGGCCGTGTCTTAGTGGTTGTGCTGTACTCGATGCATTTTTTGGATTAAACAGAACTSTGTGAGATGTTCAAAGCTCTGGATATTGTTTTATAACCTGACCTTGCTTTAAACAAACAACTTTATCCCTGACCTGTCAGGTGTGGTTCTTGGTCTTCATGATGCTGTTTGCTCATGTTCTGTACTGAATCTCTGGGATCATCACAGAACAGCTGGATTTAGTAAACTCAGATTAMATTACACRCAAGTGGATTATTTATTAAYCAGGGAAGTAATATTCCACTTCACAATTTTGTGCTACTAAAGTAACTGAGACAGAATTCAAAACTAATCTGAATTATGTACATCTTTCTGCTTAATGTACACAAAATATAGATTAGAATTAAGCAGGTAGGAGTATATTTTAAGACAGATATTTATTCACCCAAGAATAGTTGACTAGCAGGTCTACATTTAAACTCTTGGTGACTCCAACCAGTTAATAAAACTGGCTCTATGAAAACAACTATTACACGTGGACGATGCTTCATTGACGACCGTCTCAAACTCAGAGACAACCACTGATCCTGATTCTGAGCTCACCACGTATTTCTGTGTTCCAGATGAYGTGTAGTCCTGACGGATCTCCAACTCCAGCACATTCCTCTTCCTGTTGAAGGCAAAGCTGCCAAAGAATTTCACCACACTGCTCTGATCTCTGAATATAAAGAGTTAAGACTGAAAACAGGTGCAGATACTGTAAGYCAGAAATCTTCTGCAGTTGAAATTGATTAGTTATTGTATATGCATTATTATTATAATTTATATTTAATGTTATGACAATTTGAAGTCGGATTCGAACAGGAGACCGGACAGATAAAGGATACACCCATTGTTTGATGAGGGGGCCGATGTCTTTACCAGAAACATTGGAGATGGATTTGAGGAAGGCGTAAGTGGACARAAGCATCTGGCTCCACATGTGGGTCTGATACGTCTGAGACGAGGCTGTGCTGGCCAGGCTCAGAAGTTTGTTGAAAACCTAAARGATACAAAAAATAAAGCTTCAAACAGGGGTAGTATAACTTGAAATAAACCTTAATTTACTGATGTCTACATTTTCATGCATAATAAAGAGCACACAATACCAYGTGACACAGGGTGCTGACCAACAATTAGCATAGAAGCTAACTTAACATTGAAAACGCCATAGAATAGCTAACACTGTTAGCATTATGTTTATCACTGAATATTTATCAAATGTTTCAAAGTGATTACTAAAAACAAACACTTTGTAATAGCTTCAGTTATTATTAGAGACATATTGTTTGTTTTAGTGAAGAAAAGATGTAAAAACACAGATTTACTGCAACATATTTCTACTCCACAAACATCAAACATTTGCTGGCCTTCTAAACCTTTATTTTTATTGACCAATACAAATTCTTTAAAATTTGAATAATCAATTCTAAATTGTCCATGTCTGTGATAAATCTAACAGCAGATGATAWCCCTAACTCAAGTTGTGAAATGGAAAAAAACAAAAGGAAAAGGCAGCTTGTATGAGGTACRCTAACAAGAAACATTTAGATAATTTCTGACCTGAAGCATGAACTCCATGCTGATTCTGTTCTCTATCAGCCTCATCACCAGGTGGGCCTTACACTGAAACATCTTGAAGTACTCCCAGGACAAGGTGTGGGGGTGTTTGATGGAGAAGTGAAGGTGGGGGGTGGGACTAAAGAGAGAMGAGTGTGATCAGTCTCTGTCATCGCTGTGATCCAGCAGAAATTTTTTTAACAGAAACTGATGCAAAAGAACAAAACATGAAACTGAAGTCCTTACTTGTCCTTTTCTTTGCCTCCGCTGAAAGTGGGGTGCAACAAAACCCCTCCCATCTGGAGTTCATACTCAACTATCTTATCCAGTTCCTTTAAAAAAAAAGAAAAAAGAAAAATCCAGTTCACATTTTTTTTAAAAACTTTAAATAGTTTCAGTAAATTTCATTACATATTATTCTATTAAACTCATGCAGAGTTTGCATGAGTTTACACACACACACACACACACACACACACAGTATATATACAGTATTAAGTTCATTCTCATGTGTTGTTGTTGAAAGTGCAGCGGTTACCTCTTTGATCCAGTGTCGATACTCATTGACTCCAAAGGTCTTCTTCAAGTAGAGACCATAGATGTAGCCAGAGATCCCCTTCAGCACCCACTCATCAGCCCTTCAGGAAGAACAGCACGTCAGGGATTGATGGATTGATCAAGTATTCACCCACCTTGGTAATGTTTTCATTTTGTTGCCCCACAAAAAAATWATAATAAAAGATTTTCAATCTGATTTTGAGAAATGGAAAGACATAAAAAAAATAAACTTCATAAGATGTCTAAAACTGAAAAGTGTGCGTTATAACACTGGCTATGTCAAAATTCAGGGGCTGCATCCTTCTGGGATGAGGCTGAATTTGAAGGCAGATTACATCACAGTGATGCGTCGAAGGCTGTCCAAATTCAAAAGTTCCTCACTTTGCATCCTACAAATGCATCCTCCTAGTCCCCTGATTTGCGGGACGGGTCAGGTGTATCATTCTCAGTCCAAACCCCCTAAGAAGCATTGCAGGCTGACTGAGAGGTTTTTTGGTTTTTTTTTGCTTGTAATAGCGGACGAAGAACCAGTCTGACTAGTCCAGTGAAAGCTGTTCTCAGACAAACTGAGGATCTCTGCTTTCATTTAAAATGTTTTGGACACAAAAAGCAGATTTATTTGTTGTAGAATTATTTAAAGCATGTAGTTTCCTCATTAGAGTATTTTGTATAGTTCCATTACTTCTCATCGTATAAAAAATTCATTTGTATTCCAGGTTGTAAATCAACAAAGTAATCCTGAGTGGGATGAACACTTTTACAACCAACTGTAAATCACAGCACAGAACATCTTAGAACATAACAGAATCTAGTTTTTCTTTCAGAACAGAAGTTCTTTGCAGATGAGTTGAGTTTTGCAGATGAAGACTTCGAAACAGAATAAAGGTAAAAGCTTTTTTATTTGATATCTTCAGCACCTATGTGCTCTCCCTTTGTCAACATTTGTTGAAGTCATTTTGCCCCATCATAATGTATGGTCGTTTTATGCTTGGGGGTGTTTTTTTCTATTTTTTTATTTTTTTTTGGATTGACTTTGTTTTGGCATACACCACTACCATAAATTTATCAGCCTGAATTTATGTGATTGTAAAAAGACAAACCACAGAGGTTTGCTCCAGTCATGGTGCTCTCACCACCTCACTGCTGAGTGCATGCACTCCAGATGATTTCATCTGTCTATCGGCTTTAGCTGACTCTAACAAAGAGTCACCCTCTCTGGATTTTTAGTTCAACACCTGTTAATTAAGTGTGCAACCCCTCTGTTGTCGTGAGTGTCAAACCAAGATTTCAGCTCAGAAAAGTGCACAATGTTCTCAAAGATAAGACATTTTTATAGTCTTCCCATTTAAAGATACTCTCTTGTCAAATAAAGAAGAGAAATAAACATCTTGAAGGTCTTTCTGGTTTAAATCTTATCTGTTCTGCTGTTTTTCAACAAGCAGTTTTTATTCTCTGTTGTCTTTAATTAATTATACCTCTAACAGGTTATGAGTTGGAGCTCTTTTCAGTCACAGCCTCTGCCAAATGTTGCTAACAGTGATCTGATTTGTGAGTTTTGTTTTTATGCARTACCAGTGGGCTCAATATATAACAACATACAGGCACCACGTTGCAACATGTGAGGTTTGTTTAGAGGTTGGTGAGGATGAGGAGCAGGTGAAGGAGGACAAAAAGAAAAGGTATTTTTTATGTTGCATGGCACTAAATGTGACAAAGTTTTTTGAACCCAAATATAAGGCATTGAAAAATTATTATTCCTCTTAAAGCATTTCTCTCTATTACATGGTGTTCCACAGGGCTCAGTATTCAGTCCAGTATTGTTCCTTCTGTACATCAGCCCCYTTAGTAAGATTATCAGCAGCTTCAAATGTGTTTTACCTTTTGTATGCTGATGATATCCAACTGTACTGCTCTTCCAATGATTCTGAGTTATTCAAGTTTTATTCCTAAATTGTGTCTCTTGCATCAAGGACTGGCTAGCTAAAAACTGTTAGTTAAATTCCRTTAAGACTGAAACTCTGATMATTGCTCCTGAGCAGAAAGTTTCTTTGACCAAACAACACGTAGGTTCTCTGGGYTCCTCTTCCCAGTCTAGTCTCAGAAACATTGGTATCCTATTTGACTACAGTGAGGAGAAGTGAGAAGTATTTGAACACCCTGTGACTTTGCAAATTGTCCCACATACAAATCATGGAGGGGTCTGAAATTTTTATCTTAGRTGCATGTCCACTGTGAGAGACATAACCTAAAAAACAGCAGAAATCCCAAGGTATGATTTTTTTAATAATTCATTTGTGTTTTACTGCTGCCAATAAGTATTTGAACACCTGCCAATCAGCAAACATTTTGGCCCTCAAAGACCTGTTAGTCCACCTCTGAAAAGTCCACCTCCAGTCCACTTATTATTCTAAATTAGAAGCACCTGTTTGAGGTCATTAGCTGCATAGAGACACCTGTCCACCTCACACAATCAGTAAGACTCCAACTACTAACATGGCTAAGACCAAAGAGATGTCCAAAGACACCAGAGACAAAATTGTAGACCTCCACAAGACTGGAAAGATCTACAAGTTTATAATGAAAATTTTAGATGCCTCCATGATTTCCAAGTGTTCAAATTTTCCTCATTGTATCTGTAAAAAGCTTAGTACTTGTTGTCAAATTCAGAACTGATTTTAACATTTTAGTCTCAACTTTTACAGCTCTTAATGGAAAGGCCCCTCAATATATAACAAAAATGCTGACTTCTTATTCTTCTGGCAACAATCTTTGAATCTCAGGCCAAAATCTCCTGAAGGTTCCTAAAACCAGGTTTAAGACCACAGGAGACCTGAAGAGCCCCTAGATTGTGGACCGTCCTGCCATTGTGTCTTTGTGAGACTGACTCTGTTGATTTCTTCAAGAAGAACTTTGTGATCTTTATTTGTAAAAAGTGTTATATAACTAGTATTAATAGTATGAGTAAATAATAAGTTTTTTTTTTTACCAAAATTGTTTCTAAGGTGAAAGGTTAGACAAAGCTACTCTGTGAACACAATGATGTGATTTTTGTCACGAAACTACATCAGTGAGAGCTGATTTCACAGCTTCAGATTAAGTGTGAGGGTCTTTGGAAAAGGTGTAATATATGCATAATTTGTCAAATCAGCAGAATCAGGCATGCTTAGAGAATATTTTCTCTGTGACACAACAAAAACTCTCACCATGACATTCTGGAGATGAAACAGCCGAAGAACTGCTGAGCCAAGGCCTGAGCCAGACAGAGTCGAGTTTCTGGGGTCTGGTCTATTATCATGGGGCTGTGGAGCAGGTTGGTGCTGAAACACACAGGGAACAGCCAAAGTTTYACACTGAATGAAAGAAATCCATTTATTCATTCAAATAGCACTTGCACAAAAACCGTAAGTGAAAACTGTCACTGTGGAACCTGTTACACAAACTTTCCAGTTGCATAAAGACGAGCAGCTGCCAACGTTTTTCCACGGTCTTATCCAACTTTTTTTTATTTAGCTGAAGATTCATTTGACGYTAAATCTATCCTCACATCAACTTAAATAAGAACAGATTACAATAACCAAGAGAATCTCTCTTACTCAGGTAAATAAAAACAGAGATCCAGAGCAGAAAGTCTGCATCAGGAGTCTGAGTGAATTTATTATCATGCCAGCAAAAGGCAGAAAATGTTTTTTCCCCCATTTCTGTCTGCGTGCATGCTTCTGTTAGTGGTGCAACCACTAATCTGTTTTGACACATTTTAAAGTGGAMATGAATGACACTGAACTGATTATTAAATGTAAAATAGTATTATTTAATGTAAACATCCTGCAAACGACAAAATGTTTGTGGCAAACATACAACAGACACATAAACACCTCCTCCTTTGAAAAATCAATTTTAAAGAACTTTATCTTCTACAAAGGGAAAACGGGCTCCACAAGAGCCACATGTATGCAGGCTGTGTCCACGTTTTCACCCAGAGGAGGAGGAAAACTGTCGGCTTTGCTGCCAAGTCTAAAGATCGTATCTGAGCTGTGACTGTTGCTGGCCAACACCATGATAAGATGCGGGCAACAAAAAACAGCTCTAACATATTTCCAAAATTTAGTTTGAATGAACCCTGTTCTCTGCTGCAGCATAAAGCATTTTATTCCTTTTAGGTCCTACAGATCCTCTGCATTCTGTGTGATTWTGTCTTCATTGATGATTGTTTTCTAATCGTTTTGCAGTCCTCTGAATCACAAACAGATTGTGAGGTAACTAAACATTTCCATCCATGCTGTTGGTTAGAACAGAGAGTCATTCACAAATCACATTCTTAGTGTGACATCTTACAATATGTATAAAGGTTTGATGAAAATTTGCTAAAACTTTCTAAATCTTATTGTAAAACTCTGGCATGAGAAACAGGTGATATGCATTCCTTTATGTTGGGCAAAGGGTTCAACAAGCTTTTTTTTTTACCTGCCACTGCCCTGCAAGTGACACCAAATGTTACCTGCCCGAAACAAAAATTTTCAAAATTGATAAAATATAGGAAAATCATCAAAATATTTTATTATGTTTAAACAGAAACATTAACATGGTTACAAACAGATGTACAGTATATAAAATATGAMATCTGATTAAGCAGATGCAAACATTGCAGACGATTAACAAGAAAAGAACAGCTGTTGTTGTTTATATGCTTCACTAAGCAGAGCTGTATGTTAACTCAGCTTATAGCACTGATGCTACAGAGGCTGGTTTTGTAGCACAGAAGAAAAGGTTGTAGCACCAGCATAAAATGTTTGTTACAATCTCTGAAAAACCCAAGTAGTGCAAATCATTACTTAAACACACTGACAATAAATAAATAAATAAATAGATAGATAGATAGATAGATAAATAAATAAATAAATAAATAAATAACAGAACTGAAAGTTTTGCTCAATTCAACAGTTTTCAACATTCATTGGGTTTTGGGTAAAACTATTTTTACAGTGTATTCAAGCCAGCAAAAATTGAAAAGATGTTATTTTTAAGGCCTCTAATTTTCTTTCTGTTATGTCATTACCACCTTGCTTTTTGCTAAAATACTATTTTGTATATTTATATTGGTTTGGTATTGATTTTACTTTTAGCAGWAATGGTATTTTTTCTTAGTCTGAATTTGTTTAATCCAATTAATTGCTCCTATTATTTGTTTCTACTGTTGTATTTTATTGCCTTTTAAACATCATGGCCATTGGACTACAGATGAAAAATAGTATTTTGGCTAAATCTGTTTTTTTGTTTGTTTTTAACTTATGAATATGTTTCATTAATTGTACTGTCCTCTTCTAAAAAATAAATCATAATTAAAAAAATTACTATAAAAGACAGATGAAAGTCGGTGACTGAGCAGATAAATCCTGAGGGTGTGGGTTATCCTGGCATCCTGTAACATGCTGCAAACTTCAGATTATTGATGATTTCTTATAAGAACACCACCTTTAGCTCAGAGGACACGAGACCTGGGAGCACTTTTACCTGAAGATGCTCATGGAGGCGTAGGACGACACCTGAACGTAGGCCTCGTCAACAAACACGGTCTTAAAACAGGAGTAAGGGTAGCGGCAAGTCAGGATCTCCTCGTAGAACTCAAAGATCTCRTGCAGGTAGGACATGGAGTGTTTGAGCAGAGGGAGCAGCTGAGGCAGGCAGAAGTGGGTCACCTGGTGAGGACAACATTTTTAATTGAGCGGAGGGGGATCACAGAAACCACTTAGAAAAATCTRCAGTCACAGAACAGCCTGACCAATCACAGCGGGGAAAGAGAGAACAAGAAATCATTTTTGTCACACAACATCAGCAAGACACGTCTGTTCTCTGAGATCAAGACATTTGTGGGCTGTGTGATGGTACTGGTTAATCCAGTAAATCCACAGAAAATTGTTAACTGGGTTGTTTTTATTTATTCAAATAAGCTAGAAAACCTGTTAAACTGCAAATCAATGGACATTTCATTATTTATTAATGTAACACTTTTATTTGATTTGATGAAATTCAGACATTTTCATATCAGAGTTTTGAGTTTCAGAGCTCTCGATCCTGATTTTAAAAAGGGGCATTTTTTTTTYTYTTTYWSAKMTCTYCTCTTGTCTGGAAAAAGCTTCCACAGGTACCTGAAAAGTCACATGTAAGTTTCTGCCTGATATGTTTCGTTTCAGCAACTGTTGTCCAAAATTACTTATAGGAAGATTGCAAAGGATTTAGCTAAAAACACAAATAATCTTAGCACAAAAAGTAAGTAAATTAGTGTTTGGAAGATTATTTCTTTGTTGTAACAATGCTTCTTGGCAATAAACTGAATAATGTTGGAAAGCCTGTTAATTTTTCTTATAAATGGTGCCACATTTGTAAGGAACATGCATTTGTGGTATGAGCAGTAGAGCTCAGTGGGTTGCAAACATGAAAAATTTTGTTAAGAAAGTTAATTAAATGATGTGGTCAGAATGACCTGCTGCTGATTTAGAAGCAACACTCACTCACAACACATAATTACCGCCCGCCTGTCAATTTAGCAGATTTTGAGTTAAAACCACTTTGTAGCTGAGAGTGAATGAGAAGAAAAACTCTTCAGACATCTTGACATGACAAATAAATGAATCCTCAACTTTTGGTTTAAAMTAAAGGATCAAATGTTGCGGGGTGTGTTTTCTCTCATCTACAAGGTTAAAATGTTTATAAATGCTGGTCTTCAGTACGAATCTTATTTAGTCCCATGCAGACAGACCACAGCTCAMACCTCGTGCATGTAGGGGTCTACAAGGATCTCAAAGGGTCCCACAGCCAGGGAGATGTTGGGAGCGGCTGTGGGGATGGGCAGCACGTAGTGGAACGTCTTCTTCCTCATGTCGTGGGTGTAGATGGTCTCCAGCAGGTCCCCACAGGACACGGCCACCATGGACGCGTCCACGGTGAACTCCAGCTTCCAGGTGCACAGCTCCGAGTAGGAGTCCACACAGGGGAACCAGAACCTGTGGGAGGAGCCAAGACCAGGAACAGAACTATGAGAGACCTGGAACTGTTTTTCACTATACGTACGAGTGCTGAGTCAGCATTTACTCTGCTGTTTTTATGTTTATGGTTTTCTTTTTTAATCAAGCTCGTGTATCAAAACATTCAGCTCAGGCAGGAAAAATGTACCACGACTTTAGGTTTTTGTAACTTTTATATCTTTCAGATTTATTTTCAATTTCTTCAAAAATATGTTCATGTTTTGCTAATTTTAGCAAAACATGCTGCTTTGACCATTTAGCTACTGTTTTTATAATTTACACTTATAGCCACAGTTTTGCCTATTTTTGAATATAACATTTAGATTGCATTTAATTTTCAGCAATGGTTTTGCCAAATTTAAACTAAAAAATATACTATAAATACTATAAAATACTATATATACACTATAAAATACTATAA